CCCCCCTCCCTCCTGCCCGTCTGAACAAAGCTCTCCTCCTGCAGCCGCAGCATCTTTCGTCAGGACAGATAATCTCTCATCAGGCGCAGTTGGATGTGAAACAATTTGTTCTCGGAGCAGCAGCCGCTAACGACCTAATCAAGCTATCAAGGCGGAAGAAGATTGCGGTGTGACCTGGACCCATCCATCTGCCTCCGCGCCTTTTTTAATCTCATTCTCATTACGGGCTGCATGCAACCGGCATGGCCGAGAATAAATAATATAATAATAAAAGGAGAGGGGGGAAAATATATTAATAAATAAAGAAAGAGCCCACGAAATAAAATTACCACCCAATTTTCCTCATTGGGTGTAATTCAGGGGTGCCCAAACATTTTTCCTGAAAGGGCCAATATTCAAATCAGTCTGAGGGCCACGGGCCAAATGCAATAATATATGAAATGCAAAGTAAAGTTGTTTTATTTTGTAGGATTAAGTTAGCAGCCAGTGTGGTTGCCCACATTTTTTATTTATTTTTTTTTACTTTTCAGCCCATGGACATGGAGAAAATTCAACGTATCCTCAGGCAGCAAAGGCTCATGGGACTTTTCACTTTTAAAATTTTAGTATATGTAGTCTTATAAAGGTGTGCAAATCTAGATATGAGCTTAAATCTAATCTAAATGTCTCAATAAGCAGGACAACTGCTGTTGGGCCAAATCAAATGGCTTGGCGGGCCAATTTTGGCCCGTGGGCCCCACTTTGGGCACCTCTGGTGTAATTAGTTGAATCAGAGGAGGCTGGCTTTGCAGGAGAGTTCAAATGAAATAACTACATTGAATTTATTAGCACGGGTCAATAGCGCTGCTCCCGGGAGTCCCGGTAGTTTAATTTCCCGTGATATTTGCCCGCCTGCCCGCCATCGATTGGGCCTGAAATTAACTTATTTTTCAATCAGCCTCGGCRTGCCCCTGGGTCGCTCCTCCTCGCCGCTTTCACACACACTGACTCGTTTCGAGGGCCAGAGAAGCAATTTCTTTCCGAGGCTGAAAAGAAAGAAAGAGTATCTTGTATGAAATAAGGGTTATCATCAGGATTTACCATGGGGGAGCAAAAGCTTAGAGACCGTTTGATCGTTTTGCCATTTAATATTTAATACATGTACCATCACTTCTTGAATCTGCTTTTTTCACAATCACACAATCATTTCAAGGCCCCACTTTGAGCTGACAAGAAGACTTGCTGAGCTTAAAACCAGATGGTGGCTGTGGAGGTGAGAGCTGTCAAACAGACATGATCAGCAGGAGCTGAGGCAGAGAGGATTTGTAGCCACCAATAATGAATCTGATGTCCTATTGGATGAAAAWTCAAAATTTGGTCCAAGTCAAGCATCAATTTCTGTAAATATTTATTGAGAAAATACATTTTTTTCCTGATCTGATCAGAGTTTAGAATATATAAATAAAAAGAAACACATCATTTGCCTTTATTTCTTAGGCTGCACTTTACTCACAACTATTTAGTTGATGTTTCCTGCAGATTTGATCAAAATCCATCAAAACAGCTGAAAAGAAAACCTTCACTAAAAAAGATTAAAAAAATTAAAATTACTAAACTGCACTAAATACAATAACAAAAACAGAAACAATAAAACTATTGTGCATTTAAAACATTACAGTTGGGACTGGATTCAATGTTAACAAGGGCCGTATTTGGCCCGCGGGCCTTGAGTTTGATATAGCATGATACTAGAATATCTTACCACCAAAACCGTTGGTTCCTAAATATCTGAGAAATCATCACGCAGCTTTTTATTTTTATTTTTTCTAATCAAATCAAATATGTATAAATTTTTAGCCTCCCTTTTTTTGTCTAACCTTTTTTTAAATTGACATTGTCATAACTTGTGAGAGGAATAAAAACATTTTAAAAAGCTGAGTTTTAATGTGTGGGAAGTAGTGGTGCTGAGGGTGCTGCAGCACAGCAATAAAACATTCAAGTGAACATTTTTAATAGACTCTGTAAACCAGCACTGTTACTGTATCTGTGTCCAAAGTTTTTATACGTTACTGTATTTTTTTAATGTTAGTTTTTAGACAAGACAAAATGCACTACCAGTATTACACTCTTCATCCAGTGTCGAATAAATTCACACATGATCACATRTGGTTTGTTTACAAAATGGATAAACTAACAATGACTTATGGTTGAAGAAGCTTTTTAACCWACCACCCATGGGGTTTCTTCTGGTGCCACAGGTATGGTTTCAGAACCGCAGAGCCAAGTGGAGGAAAAGGGAGAAGTGCTGGGGTCGCAGCACGGTCATGGCTGAGTACGGACTGTATGGAGCTATGGTCAGGCATTCCATCCCCCTGCCAGAGTCCATCCTGAAGTCCGCCAAGGACGGCATCATGGAGTCCTGTGCGCCCTGGCTGCTGGGTGAGGCTGCAGTTCTCTGCTATTTTTTCATTTCTACCCTTTTTTTTTTTTGTAGATAGAACAAAGTGGGGTTGTGTGGGGTACTTACGAGTTGTCAGTGTCTTTCCTGTTATAGACAACCTTCGGCACTCTGAGTTTGTAGAATCAGGAGTAAAAATCCTATGAAGGAGTCCATCTTAGTTTACTTAGCGCAGTTAGGAGCAAATTTAAATCAACAAAAAACTAATCTGGGCAGGCTCAGTGATATATTTTRCACCTCTTTCCTTTTGCATAACACTTGTTCACATTGTCACTAATTTATCTTTCAAGCATTCATATTGCTAGATGTAAGTGGCTAATTAAAGGGGGAAAAAGGCGTTTGCATCTTACATTTTGTAAGATTACATTTACAAAGCTCAATCTTGAGTGATTTTGAAAGAAAATATGTTTCTATATTTGAGCCAGGCTAGTTGACTCGTGTTAGTTTCCACGCTTTAACTCTGGATGAAAACTATTCACATCATTTATGAAAACACGACTAGATCGTGCTAAATTTGGAAAACCCTAAGGCAATCATGATGCTGCTATGATTCACACTCTGTCATGCCTCCACACCACACATCTAAGCTAAGCTGCTTCCATCATTTCATCATGTTTGTAGTTTATATGAAGTCAGCTTGGTAAGTTTGCTTCAAATACTTGATGACCAAGACACACTGGTGCACATGGGCCTCACATCATGAATAAACTGTCACCCTYCTCTCATAACCCTGCTCATAACTACTCTCCACAACCCCACTTAAAATAAACAACTGCTCCTGTCTGAATTCAACAGTCAGATTGTATCAAAAACTGGAGGTTGTGTTTGTGTGTTTTTTTCCTATATAAAAATAAATGTTTTTGCTTGTTGAGCACGATTGAACAAAGTAACAAATGAATGAGATTAATTATTTGAATCCAACACTACTACTCGTTGAAGCCCCATTTTCTAAAACGGAAATATTTTTTGCTTGCTGTTTTCAGTCCAAGATGGCTTACCAATCAACAGGCGCTATTCTAAATCTGAATACCCGCAACTCTTTGCAGGGATGCACAAAAAGTCCATGGAGGGAGCGGCAGCCCCACCGACAGGGAAATGCGACGCCCCTCAGCAGCCGAGCGCTCAGAGGCCAGAGGACCCTGAGGTGGAGGAGAAGAGGTCAGAGGTCAAGTCCATCATTTCTAAAGAGGAACTGAGAGAGAACAGCATCGCTGCCCTCAGGGCCAAGGCACAGGAGCACAGTGCCAAAGTGCTGGGAACAGTTTCTCATGACAGACTGCCGGAGGGCAAACAGGAGAGACAGGCGGCCGAGGACAAGACCAGCGATCCGCCGAGTCCAGCAGAGGAGCAGAAAAGTCCCTAAAAATATAAAATAAAATAAAATAAATCAAGATCTTGGAAATCATCAGGACTGAAAGCAGTGGAGCTGCTTTCAGCTTGGACTTACAGACTCAGATTTTAGCCTTCACTGACCTTTCCAAACTGGCCTTCATCAAAACCTCTGTAAAGACACAACTCGTGTGATTGGCTGCTGGCTAACAGATGCAAATGCACTTTTGTCTGATTTATTTCCAGACTTTGTCCTCGTTCGTAGCAGAGCTGATTTGACAGCGTAGGAGYGTTGATGTATATAAACTGCATAGCTAATAACAGAGCTGGGTAGCAAAAATGTATCCAGTAGAATCCTTTTTGCTGACAGTGTAGGGAGTCAGAGGATGAAAGGCTGCATTTAGGTCATGGTGTTTATTCTGTTCAAGTTTACACAAACTGTTACATTTTCCCACCGACAGTAAGAGAAAGAAAGTAAATGTTGGCGAATATCCCTCTGTATATAACTGCTATATTAATCTCGCTCACTAAGGCGCCAGTTTAAAACATGTTTTCTTGTAGTCTTACGGTGTCTGTGTTTTGATTTTCAAATATGTATGAGTCCAAAGTCAAGCATAAAACAGAAATCACTGTTTATTAAACGTGGTGTTGTGTTCTGTTATTTTTTCTACTTTCCCTTCAGAACGTTTCCGACTAATTGTATAAAAGTTATTTTATTGTCACTCCTAAATAGCGTGAAGTCACGGTGGTTGTTGGAGTAGCCACTTGTTACTTATTGCTCTGCTGCCAGGACTCATTAGGAGATGCTTCACGGCTGCATGCTTGAGTTAGTCCCGATAATCTGTTGCAGTTGAAAGCCTTCAGTTTCCAGATTAAACTAGGGAACCAGCACTTTTGGGACACGAGAAAAAGAGAGAAAACCCCTCCTAAGCAGGGATGACCTCACTCTGATTTAAAAAAATAAATAAATATAAAATTCATAGACGCTGTTACCGGCTGATGCACAAGCTGTTTCATCCTCTTATCTGAGTACTTAGCTAAAATCTAACAGCTTAAATTGTTGGCAATCTTCACTTTCCCCTGGCTGTTCATRAAACTTTGAATCAGGAGATTAGAAGACGGCTTTACGTTGAAGCACTTTATAATTTGCACTCATTCTGCCAATGGAGCGTCTTAGTGAGTCGAACATCTGATTTTTGTTTCATTTAGACAACTGACGCAGGCCTCAACAGTAAAACGCATTCATGGTAAAAACATTGCTAATTACTGGTGGTGTCCCGATACCCAGGGCTTAATACCAGTACTTTTACAGATACTCGTACTCACACAAAATGTCTCGACACTTGAGACCGACCAGTATCAGTACTGGTATCGATACGACAACACATGAGTTACAGTTTACTTTTCAATCAAAAGCTTAGTCAGTTCTGTGATTAAGAAATTTATACAAGTTGAAAAAAATATCTTGTTATTTTTATTTATTTTAAAGTGTTGCAGCAGTATATATTATAAGGAAGGGGAGTCATCTTGTTCTAAATTAAAGAAATGTGTTTTTTAAGTTGTCATTAGAACTCGGTATTTGGTATTGGCGAGTAATCAACCTAAAGTGCTGACTGGTTTTAGGACTCCCTACTAATTACATTACTGTAGGACAGAAGTTTCCTTCAAATCTAATAGAAAATTAGTCAGAAAATAAAACAAATTTGATGCAATATACTGTGACTTGTCTATGCAGGAGAATAATTTRTTTATGTAGCAACTTTCTAATTATGGAAGAGGTTTTATTTTATCATTCAAACTAAGACAAGGCTAAAAAACTTTGAAAACATATCTCATCTCATCTCAAGGTTAAAGAGTAATTTATATTTAATTCTCCAAGTTTATATTTTTTCACTTTAAATGTTAAACTTCAGAATATTTATTTTGTCTACATGACTTGATCTGATCAGCATTTTCTTTTTGGTAAATTCTCAACAAACACATCATAGGTATAATGATAATAATATCAATTTTTCTATTGAAGGTTTTGCACACATTYTCCTCCCAGTTCCTTCATTTAGGCCAAGACATGTACACATAGTGARGATTATGACTCTAAAACTGCAACACTCTGTAATCCTTCGAGAGTGGAATAAAATATTTTGATAGATCAGGTTTGCCACATTTGAAGTTGTTTACGTTCAGTTTGATCAGGTAATATACTGAATCCCTCATGAGGGCCAGTCTGCGGCCTTTATAAGATCATTTCAATTCACRCAAAGTGACTGAGGAGCTTTCTGAAAAAGATTTTCTCTAATGCTTTATTAATATTCAATTTATTTTTAAGGGGTTCTAAGAAATATGGTTTACTGGTGAGATTAAGTATATAAAGACAACATCTGGGAGTCCTTTAGATTCAGTTTTCTGCTGACCTGGAATCWGCTCTGAATTGTTAAATGTGATGCTGTGCTGCCCCCTGCTGTCCAAACATGTTATTACATCGTTATTACACGAAGAACCATCAGAGCTCCTTCAAGTGTGTCACTTATTTATTTTATGTCACCACAATGAAAAAAAGGGCAAACAAACATAGTATTTCTGCTTATTTTATTTGGTTTTCAGATTTTTTTGAAGCATGCAGCTGTATAAAAAGACATATTCAACACTAAAGCTGAAACAGTTCAAACAAAACCAGAATYAAAAATTTAAGACTGTATCATGTTATCTTTTAAAATTGGAAATAGATGATCAAAGTTAATCCAAATATTGGTCACCTGTGCCACAAGATTAACATTTTTTTTTTTACCTTTAAGTAAACCGTACAAAGCACTTTCTGTTTTTGTAATGAGTCTTGTTTGTTTTTAATGTGCATCAGCACTTTGGTCACATTGACTGAGAGAAGTCATTTAAATTAGAAACGTTAAGTTGGCATCAGCGTCTCATAATCATTTCTGTCTGTTCTGAACTGAACAGCAGTCACTTCTGAAGTGAGCCGCTGCACATGTCTGAATAATTCACTTCTAATTTCACTGTTTTTACATTTCATTGAAGCCAAMTCTTCATTCTATATTAGAATTACTGACTAAAAACTCTCAAGGTTCAAAGGCTTATGTCTTTGAGATTCCTAATTTAAAGTAAATCAAAACTGGAAGTCCATTAAGTGTTGGGGTGCCTTCAGCAAAATAACAAAAACCATACAGTAGAGTTTACCTTTTTATAATTGTTTTTGTTTTTCTGTGTTCTTTGTTCTTGGCTGATTTAATATCCCATGCGATGCATGCTTTTTGTTCTTTCCTTGTCAGTCTCTTCACTTCCTGCAGCATTTATCTCCTTGCCAAGTTCTTTTARTGCATCACTCTGGAGTCTTTGCATTAGTGGTTTGATTTTGTTATCTCCTCTGGACCGTCTGTTAGACTGGTCCATGCAAAGCCAGGAGAAGTAAACTGATCTCTTGTCTCATCAAACATCAGTTTAACTTTATTTTGCTTAAGTAGCTTTATTGCAGTAATCTGTGCACACACACACACACACACACACACACACACACACACACACACACACATATAATCTACCTGCTCAGAATTATTTTTCATTGCACAGCTGCTGACCAAAGACTCCCTGAACTGTATCTCATCTACCTGTTCATTTTTTATGCACACATGCTATTACATATTGCACAAATGCACACTAACTGTTATATATTGCACAAATGCACACTAACTGTTCCATACTGCACGAATGAAGCAAATGTACACACCTCACTACATATATTTTTATTTAAACCACCTCAACCTCAATCTTGATCTGGATTCTGCCTTACTCTATTTCTACTTTTTTATTTTTATTACTATATTTTTTCTGTTTAGTTTTTATATGCCTAACTTACTTTACACTGTCTAAATTAACTTTACATTACTTTATAGTTTGTCAAGCTGTTTATGTCGTGTGCTAATATGCATCGTAATTTTGTTCTACAGGGCATCCCTGATGTTACGTTTGAATGACAATAAAGAGAATCTGAATCTGAATATGTACTGTATATTAAAATGCAATATATATTTATGTGTAGATGTGGTTTATTGAATAAAAACTGATTCACTGATCACAATCAGTAGCAAAATAAAATGTAAAATTTCATTTTATTTCAATAACCCAACATGTTTTTTTTTAATGTCAAAGTTATAATTTCAGTAACTGGCTTTGTGTTCTTTTCTTCTTAATTTGAAGTCACACTTCATTATTACAGCCACATGGTGGCAGTCTTGATTTTCACAACAAAACCTTATAAACCTCATATACAATTTTTCAATCTCCTTTTTTGTCATAATTCAGGTAATCTATGAAAGCTTTTAAAGCATAATTTCCAGTTTGACACTCATCACATCTGCTGGGTCAAAAGAGGGACTTGTTCCAGGCTTGTGAGCAGACGTGGTCCGATCTTGATCAATAGTGTCCCTCTCATGCTGCTCATGATGATGAGGATGTCTGCTGTGGGTTAATGGGTCATGTGATTGAATGTCCTCTGCTGCAGCAGGACAACTGGGCTCTCTTTCACACTTCAGTGTGTAAAAAAAAACACACCACCATCCTTGTTTTATTTGAATAAAATCAGCATCCTGGAGCTTGTGTTGCTCTATTTCTTCAGCTGTAATTTACCCCAGCAGACATTTGGTTCAAATATTGATTGAAGTGAGCTGCTGTCGTCTGCGGCCTGTCGAAAGCTGCTTTATATTTTTATTTTGCTAAATTAAACTCCGACTACGGGGGGTGAGGAAACAAGAACAATACACACCTGAGGGTAAACAGAATTTAATTTGCTCACCTGCTGACCTGCTGGCATTTACTAATGTCTCGCAAGTAATTGGCTTACTATTAGGCATCGTAAATGCTAAAGYTGTTCATTAAAAGTGTATTTTGATTACTGAGTAAATAGCTGATCTTTGAAGATTAGGTGATTGCTTTTCTGAAGTAGGATGATGGGAGTTCTGTGTTAGTAGACTGCCCTCTTTATTAATGCATCACTTATCTTAGCTGGACTTTATGACTGGTCCTGTCTCAGAAACACAACGTGTGGCACGACACCGGCAGCCGTCCTCTCCAGCAGCTCTCAGGACTTTCATTTCTTACCMGTCATAAATGAGCTGTTAGAAGGATTTACTTCAAAACTATCCCCCAAATGTTTATTACTCCTTGCTTCCCATATTTAAAAAGTGGTATTACCCCTTCCTGTGAAGGGCCAGGCACTCAGGTTGTAATTAAAAACCATCACATGTTGCTGAGTCTAATCACAGAGCTGCATTAGAGGCTTCTGCTGGCACAGACCACCAAAGTTCTTTCAAAATAAAAAAATAAAATAAAAAAGCACCCAGTCTGTTCTTATCATGAGAAGTGAAACATGAACAGTCAGACAGAGCTCCCTTGTTGCTCAACAGTGATAAGCGGAGCCAGAAGATGAGGCTGGGAGGACTTTATCAGTCCAGAGTGCATCCTGGAGAACGACGGCGYCCCAGAAGAGGAGAGGCATGTTCTGGTGTGACGAAGGTGTGAAGGCAGATAAGCATGTTTGTGTGAAACGCTTCAGAGATGAGCGTAACTCTGATGTGAAACAGATGGACACAGAGAGAGGGAACACAGCAAAACTATATATATA